ATAGATGTAAACACAGCCGCCTAAGATGAGAAGAGACGCAGAGGGTCGTAAGTAGAGACGTAAATGGTTCATGAATCTTAACTTGCACTCTGAAATTGTGGTGCCGAGGCCACACATGGTCCACACCTGCCCTCCAAACTTTACCCCAGGATTATCAGGGGAAAGCGCCAAGCCATTACCACTATATAGCACTGGGAAGGGATCAGGATAGGGATTTGGGATGGGACGGAGGGGAAGGAATGATGCCCCAACCACTTGTGGACGGTCGGGGATTGAACGCTGACCTGCATGAAGCGAGACCGTCGCTCTACCGTCCAGCCCAAATGGTAAGAGGGTTAGAGCCGGGGCCCAGGCGCCGAGGTACACATACCCATCTGACTCATGTACTGCAGCCCGTCGTTCTCTTCACCTGCCACTCCGTAACAAATACAACCATTTACACTAAGCACAACGCACGCACCCAACCAACCCACCTAACCTATCGAGTCCCATGCATAGAAAACGTCAATATTGGTGAGCCGTTTATTATCTTAATGGATAGCATTTATAACGTTGGTAACGATAACGTTAACAACGTGACCTGTAGCTCTTGGGTTCAGCCTCTCAACCTTCAAGCTACTGAGGTACAGTTACAGAGGCTCTATTGGGCTCTGTTATATCTCTATGTCAAACTCTGGACTCTTTCTCCACCATCACACCTCCCTGGTTGATGGGGTTCTGGGAGTTGTTCTACTCCCCAAGCCCGGCTCGAGGCCAGACTTGACTTGTGAGAGTTTGGTCCACCAGGCTGTTGCTTGGAGCGGCCCGCAGGCCCACATGCCCACCACAGCCCGGTTGGTCCGGCACTCCTTGGAGGAATAAATCTAGTTTCCTCTTGAAGATGTGTCCAGCCCTGTCCCAGTACCCCCCCCCCCTCTGCTAACTATTCATCCTTTGGCTGTTCTATAAAATTCGAGTATTTTCTACGCGGTAATCATGTCTCCCTCCCTTAACTGTTTCGACTTGGTATATCTAATGACTTCCAGTAGTCGGGGACAGGAAGCCTGTTAGGCTAGGCAAATGACTAATTTTATTTCAAGAGGATGCAACCAAGAACAGCTGGCTAACCCCCAGTTACCTATTACCTGCCAAGTGAACAAGGGTATCAGGTGAAAGTAACATGCACACACTTCTCTGCCTCGTTCGGGAACCAAACCTGGGCACACACATTACCACCACCTCCCCTCAACACCTCCACCATACAGGTGGAGGTGTTGAGGGGAGACCAACATAACCAACACTTCAGACCAGGCGTGTGCCAGGAGGTGCAGCAGGACGCGACAGTGAGAGGCGGGACTGGTCCAGGCTACTGGCCACCAGAGTGGCGGCCCCGTTGTCATGGTAAACCTCACTCCCCCCCCCCCCCCCCCCCCGTCTCAACTGTCTCACCTTCATGAGGAGGGGGGGAGGGAGGGAGAGGGGGAGAGGGGGAGAGGGAGGGAGGGAGGGAGGGAGGGAGGGAGGGAGGGAGGGAGGGAGGGAGGGAGAGAGTTAGAGAGAGAGAGATGGAGGCAACAGAAAGATAAAAAAATAATCTTGTTCTATGTACCGGAAAGGAGAAATAATGCATTACTGGCTGGAAGGTGTGTGGGGATCGAACACCGACCCTACAAGAAGCCATCACTTAAGTGGGTGTTGGCCTCTTGATAAAAGGCTTCCCTGATGGTGCGGGCTGAGAGGTGCAGGGGGAAGGCGCTGATGACAAACAGATAAGAGGCCCTTCAACTACAGACCAGCGTCACTAACAAGCAGCCCCCAGCAAGGTACACCAAACATTACAAAAGTATAAGGCTAGTTACCCGCATAGAGAGAATTAACAATGTTAAACCTCAACATGGGTTTAGGGAAGGGAAACTGAGCCTGACGAGTCCTACTGGAGACCTGAATTCTATGATAAAGTAACGACAATAAGGCAGGACAGAACGCTGGGCAAATGGAGTTTTTTCTATACTGACAAAAATCCTTTGATACAGCACCTCATCACAGGGGGGGGTATCGATTCATTTCTCTCAATGTTTGCGGACGATGCTAAAATTATGAGAAGGATTAAAACAGAAGAGGACTGTTTGAGGCTTCAAGAAGACCTAGACAAGCTGAAGGAATGGTCGAACAAATGGTTGTTAGAGTTTAACCCAACCAAATGTAATGTAATGAAGATAGGTGTAGGGAGCAGGAGGCCAGATACAAGGTATCATCTGGGAGAGGAAATTCTTCAGGAGTCAGAGAGAGAAAAAGACTTGGGGGTTGATATCACGCCAGACCTGTCTCCTGCAGCACATATCAAGCGGATAACATCAGCGGCATATGCCAGGCTGGCCAACATACGAACGGCATTCAGAAACTTGTGTAAAGAATCATTCAGAACTTTGTATACCACATATGTCAGGCCAATCCTGGAGTATGCAGCCCCAACATGGAGTCTATATCAAGTCAAGGATAAGACTAAACTGGAAAAGGTTCAAAGGTTTGCCACCAGACTAGTACCCGAGCTGAGAGGTATGAGCTACGAGGAGAGACTACGGGAATTAAACCTCACTTCGCTGGAAGACAGGAGAGTTAGGGGGGACATGATCACCACATTCAAGATTCTGAAGGGAATTGATAGGTTAGATAAAGACAGTCTATTTAACACAAGGGGCACACGCACAAGGGGACACAGGTGGAAACTGAGTGCCCAAATGAGCCACAGAGATATTAGAAAGAACTTTTTTAGTGTCAAGAGTGGTTGACAAATGGAATGCATTAGGGGGTGATGTGGTGGAGGCTGACTCCATACACAGTTTGAAATGTAGATATGACAGAGCCCGATAGGCTCATGAATCTGTACACCTGTTGATTGACGGTTGAGAGGCGGGACCAAAGAGCCAGAGCTCAACCCCCGCAAACACAACTAGGTGAGTACAACTAGGTGAGTACACGGGATTATTACACAAACTGGAGAGGCAGGTTGGAGTGAGCGGAAAAGCGCTAATAAACTCAGTTTGGCGGCTGGATTAATGAGTATTTATTTGGTCTTTGTTAACGAGGATGAGCTGATTATTGCAGCGGTGGTGGTGGTGAGTGTGAGGCCCCGATGGTGGTGGTAGTGATGAAATGGTACTTCCTCACTTATTGTGGCTTACAATGTGCAGGCGTGAGGGTGGGCAGGGGGGATATGGACATGTAAGCGGTATGGATATTAGGGCTCGGAAGGTGGGGGGGGGGTTAGGGGGATTAAGGGCTGTGAAATAGGGGAGGGAGGGAGGTTGGGGGGGGGGGTGTGCTAACATTAGCAACCTTCCCAGGATCTGGGTGTGCTAACATTAGCAACCTTCCCAGGATCTGGGTGTGCTAACATTAGCAACCTTCCCAGGATCTGGGTGTGCTAACATTAGCAACCTTCCCAGGAACTGGGTGTGCTATGAATGTGGTCTTACACTGCCAGATTTTGCTTACTTCTCTCCATATATCTTCCAGGTGTACCAACCATGCACATCATCTTTAATGTACCAGCTACTTAGATTATCCCCCAGACTACTCCACATCCCAAGAAAGTCTACCGTAACCATCTAAATGTTCTCAATAATCCCCATAATCGCTAATGACACCAACAATCTATTCACTAACCACTAATGACATCTGTAATTATATTAATACATGTTCCCGAGGAGCTGCAGTAACCAGCAGAGGTTCCCATCACACCAAGTGATGATCGGACCACCACACACCAACACAAACATTGATTGATGAAGATTAAGCCACACAAGAGGTGACACGGGCATGAATAGCCCGTAAAAACACAAAGGTGGAGTGGACGCTGGTATAAGCACCCTTTGACAAGCCTTCGATCCATGCCCGAGCCACCTCTCGGGCGGCTTAATCTTCATCAACCAATCAACCATCGACAGGTTCTCGCCACCGCTCCTGTGCCAGGTAAGTTACGGGCTCACCATAGCCTGTGCTACATGCCCCGCTCCTGTGCCAGGTAAGTTACGGGCTCACCATAGCCTGTGCTACATGCCCCGCTCCTGTGCCAGGTAAGTTACGGGCTCACCATAGCCCGTGGTACTTGCCCCGCTCCTGTGCCAGGTAAGTCCACTACGGGCTCACCATAGCCTGTGCTACATGCCCCGCTCCTGTGCCAGGTAAGTTACGGGCTCACCATAGCCCGTGCTACTTGCCCCGCTCCTGTGCCAGGTAAGTTACGGGCTCACCATAGCCTGGTCGAGGCCTGGTCGAGGACCGGGCCGCGGGACACTAAAGCCCCGAAATCATCTCAAGATAACCTCAAGAAGATATAACCCGACTCCCTCGCGGAGAGCAGCGTGTACTGTAGGTCAGGTAGCGAAGCCTCCACCTCCATTATCCCCGGCGGTTATCTGCAAGTTGGCGAGTTTTCTCCTACATGCTGTCATCACCACTGCCTTAACCTTTGTCCGTCCATCTCTTGTCATGACTACGATCATCATTACCGTTGTCATTACTCGTCACCTTCGTCCCTTCTCTTCCTTTGGGTGAGAACACTTATAGAAACGTTCTCTATTCATGACGTGAATTTCCAGAGTCCATGTCCATTTCAAAATCACTTAGCCAAGGTGTTGGTTGTACGAGTCCCCACGACGGTACATGCACCATGCTTGGTGGCAGGCAAGGCGTCTGTGGTATATTACTGGTATGTGTCTCCTGGTGTGTAGACCGCACAAAGTACAACTAGAAATGCGGCTAGGGGTCAGTGGTGGTAAGTTAACCTATCATCCAACCCACACATCTGAAAATTAAGAACCGACTGACTAATACGTCGTCGTCTCTTTTTTCAGATTTGACTTGAATGTCAACTCTTCAGCCACGTTATTGTGACGCATCATCTACTCAAGTAGCTTAGGTTTGGTTGGGTTAAGGGTGTGTACACTAATGGTAGCACCTCTTATCAAACAAGAGTGTAGGAGAAAGAGCAATACTAGGAAACAGTTGACCCCACTAACCTGTTGATGTTGGTGACCTTGTACTTGACGTCTTGGCCCTGGGTGATGGAGACGAGGACCCTGGTGCCGTTCTCCGCCCTCTGGGCCAGGTCCTCCCCCTGCTGGTGGCCCAGGAACACCACCACCACACCGTGCTGGT